AATGAAGGACAACCTGAAGCTTCTGGACAAGACCGAGAAGCTCTTCCTGAAGTACCTGGAGAAGCCATCCCACCATCAACATTGAATGAGACACTTCAACGACATGGCAGCAACGTCTTGGATGGACTACCTGTACAAGTACAAGGAGCCTCTGGATCCAACCAATGCGCTGTGCCTACATGTCAACTCCCTGGAGGCCACTACGGACCACACGAGAATGACGAGGGCAAGTTTCTGTACGACCCCTACGACGGCAAGAAGATGATCGTGGAGGAGGCCGACAAGGAGGAGAGTGCTGATGGAGATGATGGAAAATCTACAACGCCTACTTTGTCTTCAAGCTCATCCGAAGAACTACTTCCTGATGACCAAGGACAACCTGCTGCTGCTCAACTCTTTGCGGAGGACTTCAACGAGGAGTTTGCCTATGCCCTGGAGCTGGACGTCACCATGGACGACTTTGCCTACCTGGCCAAGAACCCTCGGAGGAGAAAAGCAACATGCTGGTTGAGCCGCAAGATGAGTGAGAAAGGGCGTGAAGCCTCCTGGAACCAACTTTCACTGGAGGACAAGCAGAAGTTCGACATGGCGATGGCCAAGGAGTTGAACCAGGTAGCAACTTCGAGAGCTTTGAGGAATTTGACCAAACAGGAGCTCAAGGACTTGGACGTGAACAAGGCTATGCAGATGAGATGGGTCCTCACATGGAAGAAGGCCCCAAGTGAAAATGAAGAAGCAACTGCAAAAGCCAGGTTAGTGGTGCTGGGATATCAGGCGCACAACTTGACGTCTGTGGAAACAGCCAGCCCCACGATGTCCAAGGCTGGGAGAAATCTACTTCTCACAGTTGCTGCTGCACTACAACTGCGACTATACAGCGGTGATGTGTCTTCAGCCTTCTTGCAGGCTGATGGGTCTTTGGAGGATGAACAACTTGTGGTTTGGGCACCTCCTGAACTTGCAGTTTACTTCGGTGCCGATCCCCGTGACCCAAGAGCACTTCGCGTGTTGAAAGCCTTTTACGGGCTAGTGCATGCCCCAAGGCAATGGTTTGAGTCAGTTGCAGCAACCATGGTAAAATCTGGTTGGACACAACTCAAAGGAGATAGATGTCTCTTTGTTCTGCTGGAGAAGTCGGAGGAGCTGAAGGGCAATCAACGGATCTGCGGTGTCGCCGGAATCCACGTTGACGACTTTCTCACAGCAGGCCGAGAAGGTTCAGCCACATATGCCAATGCGGAGAAGTTCCTGAGAGAAAAGTTTCGTTTTGGAAAGTGGGAAAGTGCTCTGCAAGGCTTCGAGTTTGCGGGCTGCCAGGTGATTCAGAAGAAGAACTATGAGATCACACTGGACCAAGAGCACTACGTGAACCAATGGGTTGAAGAGATAGAAGTAGACCCAAAACGCAATCCCACTGCAGAGCTCACCAAGCACGAGATCAGCCTGATCCGAGGTGCACTTGGCACCACGAGCTGGCGTGCAACACAATCTGCTCCCCAGTTCCTTGCGGACACATCCCTCTTGTTGTCCGAAGTGAATCGAGGATCAGTTGCCACCATGCACAAGGTGAACAAGCTGGTTCGGGAGATGAAACGAACAGCTGGACAAAAGCTGATCTTTCCTGCGTGGAACATTGACCTGGACGAACTGAGCGTGATCACATGGGCTGACGCCTCCAACCATAACCGACCCGACCGATCGAGTTCGATTGGAATTGTCACTGGCGTAGCTCCTCGCTACATCATGGACGGTCAAGAGGCGCAAGTGGCCATTGTTCAGTGGAAGAGCGGGAAGACTCCCCGTCAATGTCTAGGATCAAATGGAGCTGAAGTGCAAGCAATCACCATTGGAGAGGATCAGAACTTTCAGATCCGTGGACTCCTTTACGAGCTCAAAGGCAACCAGTTGGATCGAGCCCAATTGCATCAACAGATTGCAACAGTGCCTGGAGCCCTGATCATGGACTCACGTGGAGTATTCGACGCGGCCACTCGCAACCTGTCCGCGCTCCACGGGCTTCGAGAAAGCCGGGCTGGGTATGAACTTACCTTGTCGATCCTTCAAGCTCGAAAAGCTCAGACTTCGCTGAGATGGGTTTGTGGGTTAGCACAGTTTGCTGACTCCTTGACGAAGTTTGGTGATAGAAAATGTTTCTTGCAGTTCCTCGCGCAGAAGCAGACCTGGAAGCTGATAGATGACCCAAGCTTCACTGCAGGCCGAAAAGTGAGCAAACGAGCTTTTGAACGAAAACTCCAAGAAGATGAACAGTTCTTTGTCAACGAAGTGAAGAAAATGGCCGAGAAGAACCGATGGCCGTGGGACGAGTCTTTTGTACAGTATGATGCACTATCTTAGAGCAATTTGTGTACATGAAAAGCTCAGGTAGTGTATGGGATGCAAGCACTGAACTGCATTCCCTTCTTTTCCTGTCAGGTACCCTTTCAGGAGTGACCTTTTCACATACACCTGCGTCCGCAGGGCGGGATAGCTTAAGCTCAAGCCAAAACAACTTCGTGCTCCCCGAGGAGCGTGCCTCATAGGTGAGGTGGGTACCCCAACCGGTTTTCCCTGTAGTGAGGGACGTTGATAGTCACTGGGCTGATTGCATCAAGGAAAAGGGATCATTAAAGACGACACTTGGGGAAAAAAACATGACAAATTTGGGTGCCAACTATGGCTGCTATTGGGGGGTGATGGTGACACAGCCACTGAGTAGCTACCACAATTCCAAATGACTTGACGAGGTGATATGTTTGATATGTCCCATTAAATACATGGATATACATGGACATGTGGGAAACATCATCATCACACTTTTAAGGCCCTTAACTTTCCTTGTTGTGGGAATCATAGGGCACTGTTTGTGCCCTATCTATTTCCCCCCGTTGGTCGCAGTCCCAGCTCGTCTCGAGGAATGCGGGCTGCAGGTTGTGAAAGCCATGGTGGACGGCTTCGCTAAGCATCCAGAGATACTTGGTTGACGGTTAATCAAAATGGGATATAGAATATGGGTAAAGCAATAATAAACCATCCCCCAAATCACCATAAATAGGTGGTATGTTTACCATTCCCAATGGGTGGTTTATGGCATTGTTTTAGCCATATTAAAGGGATATATGACCTGCACTTTTGGGCCAGGAATAGGTTTCAGTGTTTAGTTGCTTTATCTAGCAGATTTATGTAGATTTCGGATTTATGGATATTTATGGGTACAGTATGTCTGCAAAATATATCTACAGTTGAAGGTGAAATTGATGAACATCAATCAACATAAGCCGCGGGGCAACACAAAAACATGGGCTTCTCCAACAGTGGGGCATAGCCCAACTCATAGCAACGATGCCGGATGAGATAAGCCTTGACCGATCTCTGAATCAAGCTTTACCCTGGTTCGTGACAACTTATCAAAGATATTGGTGCTTTTCCCCACTGGTTGATTTGCCTATGGAGTCTTCTTTCCTCCAACACTTCATGGGTACTGTAAATGATGGCAAATGTTGGACCAAGCCAGCCGCTTTATAAGGAGCAAAATTTGGGATAGTTATGAGTGTATATGGAGGGGTAAATAGATAGATTAGGTCAGAGACTTGTTTCGAGACAAAGACCTAAACAAAAACAGTCAGGGATTTGAAGTCTTGGGCAACCTTGGGGAGTTGTATGGAACCTTGGGAAGTGTAAGGGGTTCTTCAGTTAACCAACCCTGTGGAATAAGACTAAGATGCAATAATTGCATTCCTCTTCAACTAAACAGCGTTTTTTTCCCTCAGAGGGCTGGGTTTTGACTTTGACTCTGAACTCTGGAACCAAGCTACAGGTACGTGTCATTCTTGGCACGTGCCCATTTGTGGGTGCCCGACTGCAGCCCATACCCATGCAGACAAAGGATCACCGAATGTCGAATGTCAATAGCTTCGTGGCACCAGCACCAGCCTAGAGCCACATGCGGTCTCGCAGCTATACGTCCGAGTAAATTATAGCATGTACATCCATGAATAGAAATATATAGAAATGGTTTTCGTCTATGCGAAACCAGGACCTGGAACGGATTCTACCCAAAACCGGCAGATCTACGACCAGAAAATGTCCACCTCCCAGGAAATTCATCGGCTTGACGGTGCACTCGAGCTACTCAGACTTCCAGGCCTCGGGAGTTTTGAGTGATGAAGTTGTTTAAGAAGGGATACCCACAAAATACCCACAAAATACCCATATATATATCATATAATAGTCATTTTAATTGGGAAAATATGGGAAAATGATGGCGATTCATTGGAATTGGGGGGTACCCTATTTTCAGACAAATCCAAACGTGATCAGTTGCAGTAGATGTTTTTGACGTTTTTTTGATACTGGTTTAAAAAAAAATGGGTACTGCAGGTTGGAAAAAAAGTCGAGCTGGTTTGATCTTGTCATTTCTGTTCTAACTCGATGTGGTCGTATGGGATTGGTTTTCGGAGAAAGTTGGGGCGCATTTCGCGCTCCCATGCCAAAAAAAGGTTCAACATTTGTGGTGTTTTTGTTGTTGTTGTTGCCAGTTGTTGTTCTTGTTATTATTGTTATTTGATATGCGTTTTTTGTTTTATTATTATTTGTTATTATTACAGAAATAAAAAGGTGAAGCGAGTATGGGGTGAACATTGGGGTACTGGTCGGCCCCAGGCTCTGTGGTTTCCACCGGTAAAGACGATCAGTTCTTTTCCCATTGGCTGGCTGACAAAAGGACGGTGCTACCACCCTCCCTGTTCACAAGCAATAGAATGCATAGAATGTTATCAGGTATACTCTTACACATTTAATATATTATTTATATACGTATATATATTAGTATATATTATAGATAGTTATACCATACATATATATATATATACATGTAATAAATTCTCATAGTATGTCACCAATTTTCCTGCCCCTGCCTTTTTTGCAAGATGTTGCGGATGGTTTCTTTTGAGTGGCAACTGATGTGCTGTTTCAGCCGCCAGGCCTACTTCCACAACACTGGAATGCACGGATGCCCCAGGCCATGTCTCCCACAAGAGGAGCTCCGAAAAAACACACGTTTTGGCCATGAAAATGTCCCATTTCGGGCGTTTTTTTTCCAGTTCTTCAGCTCCAAACTGCAGTTCCTCTTGGCGGTTTCGAATCCCTGATCTTGAAAATATTAGCTAAGAAACCTGATAAGACATCACAAGCGTTCCAATTCTACACATTCTACTTACCTGATACTTGTATCTATAACATTTTATGGTTTACAGTTGATAAACATTTTATGATGAAACTACTTACGTTTCCACAGAGCCACTTAGCCCTTGAGGAGAAGTGTGTGAAGTTTGGTCCCGTGTATCCGGGCATGAAAGCAGTGCTGTGGGTGCGCAACGATGGCATGACACCCGGGCCGCGCTTAGCCATCGTCCGGAGATGGTCATCCCTAAGTCCATGGGAATTCCGTGGGAATTAAATGTTGATATATAATGATATATATAGTCTATATATAGTCTATATATAGTCTGTATAGTTGATAGATAAGTAATAACGGTGAATAATGGTGATGACTTGTGATGAGTGGATTTGCCCTTCGGTAATCAAACATAACACTTTGAAATTCCTCCAAGCGGAGTTTTTTACGGGAAAATTATCTATAACCGAGGGATTTTCAATTGCCATGTTTGATTACCGGAGGGTATTCGATATTATATGTGTTCGAGTAACTGATCCTTCGATAATATTTCAACCAGCATCAATAGAGCATAGAGCCAAGGATTTGAATCAACAATATCCCAACTCTTCTAGAAATACTAGAAACACACTATACAGATGCGCAGTGCAGCTGAAACCCATCCCAAAACCATCCCTACCCGCTTCGCTAGGAGGAATCATCCGCAATGGTTCCCCGAGTTGTCCAGTGGCTCCAGCGACTTGGAGATCGCCAAGGTGCTCTACCAGCACGGCAACAAGGAAACCCCACGCGTTTGTGCCGTGGCGAACCGAGGTTAGCCTGGTGACAAGACGGGGGAAATATGGTTTGGACATGTTTGGACATGTTCGGAAGTACAGCGGAACTATTCAATATACAATATGGGGATATAGGTATTATATGTATATAATTCTCAATAAATGTATATATATATTATATATATATATTATATTATATATATATATATATATATTATTATATATATTATATTATATATATATTATATTATATTATATATATTATATTATATATATTATATTATATATATATTATATTATATATATATTTTATATATACATATCCCCACAGCGTTTGGCTCTCTGCCATTTCCCGGAGATGATCAACTATTTGTAGGTGAGATTTTGCTGATATCCATAATTAATCAATCCGATCCATTGTGAACCACGGCTTCTCGAATCACCAGATCGACTGTGGTGACTTCCCACCGGTCTTGGACTCTTGCACTGAAAACGTTCAGCTGACCCAATGTTGGACACTCCATTTTGACAATCCAGAAACGCCAAACTGTGTGTTTCAAGATGTTACAAGAAGAATGCCCTGTCAGAAACTGCCATGCAGCTGGGTGCCATGTGAGATTTCAGATTAGTTAAGGAAACCCGCCAAGTGGGGGGGTTGTTTGTAAATTCATTTGCCCATAATCCTAGTGGGGACAAGCCAGGGCGAAGTTTGATGGAAACCGAAACAGATATGAAACTGAAAACACACGCTTCTGGCGAGAGAAAAACCTATCTCCTCATCAGATGTTGCTGGAAAAACATATGGAAAATTGATCTCAACATGCTAGGTGGTCAAGGATTTTCTGCTTGCAGCATGTTGAAACAGGGCACCTGGACTGGAAGCCACCTACCACATCCAGCAGCCATGCCAAGGTCAGGATGATGAGGAGGAGGGCCATTTTGTGCCCGCCGAACAATGGGACGACGCTTTGCCAGGAATCAGACATGGGAATCCTGCCCAAGACAGATGTATAGTAGGTACTCCAAAAGTATGGTGAATTGTCATGAATTGGCTCTATTGGCTTGCCATCACTTGGAGTAGAACCATGTTATTGAATGTTTTTGCCTGCATCACTTTCCGTCACTTTCCCAAATGAAAATGCTTGTGGAACCCCCTATTTTTGGAAGCTAATTGGGGCCTAGGGATTTCCAGCGATGCTTAAGCCGTTCCTAGGCTTTCAAGCGCAAGAGTGCCAATCCGCAGCCAAAACAGGCCACTTGATCTGAAGGTCAAACTTCGTGAGGGGTACTTTAAGACTACTTGATATCTTGATATAGTTTGCCATACATGCACATAAATGGGAGCATATAAAGCCCGGCTGAAAGTGAGTTTAATACACCCAGCTGTTCTTGGTGCTTGGTTTCAGCATAGAGCACAACCCCCTCCTCTTTCAGAGCTTAGGCCGTGTCTCAAAAATGCATGTCATATAGTCAGACCATCATGGTGGACAAATAAGAGATGATATTATATACATATATTCCATGATGATACATGTGTATACATTTGTGGCAAGGTCTATGGCATGATCAACCAGGGAATCAGATTGCGCTTTTTCGGACAAAAAGAGGACAGACTTCGGATGTTTTCAACGAGGCGGCACATCTCGAAAAGCCTTTCTTGAACTGTGGATCCCATGGGATTGGTTTCTCCGTGCTGGACTTTGTGGCTTGGGCTTGGGCAGCGCCAGGTTAGATTTCCAGAGGGGAAAGAGTCGGAAAGACCGTAACCGTTTTGTTAGTTTCGAAGTGTTTCGAAGCTGTCACTCAGAACGGATAGTTATTCCATGTTATTCCATGTTATTCCTGTTATTCCATGTTATTCCATGTTATTCCTTTGTGTTTGCGACTGTTAGAGTTAGAGTTGTTAATTTGTCTTCCTACTACGTCAATGCTGCAAGACAGGCACACGTGCATACATCACATGCATACATCCGTGCATGCAAAAGGATCAAAAGGAAGAGCCATGCTTGATCGCCAGTAGGTGCGCGTATCAGGTATCAATCTACTCAGCCTACATGTTTTGGAATTCCGGAAGTCGAGATAACGAGATGGGGCAGATGGGGTTTGAAATGGTTTGAACCTCTTTTTAAATCCCACATGTTTCAATTATATATACTGTAAATACAATGGTGTTGAATCTGTGAATCATATGAAGACTTTCAATACTGGGCCTCGGGTTTGGGGACCCTTGGGCCCATCACAAGTGTTCTTGATAGCTGATTGTTGATGATAACTATCGCCATTTGATGATCATACGCTCTGGTGGTATTCAAGCTTGTGCGTTCATGTTCCCGTTGCTTTGTTGTTTGGAACCATGTGTTGGTGATTGCAAATGTGTGGTTGTTTATGTATTAGCTCAATTGTGGTATATTTTCTGGGATGGATGGCCCAACAATTAATCATGCCTAGGCCTAGTTGTTTCATATCCCGATATTGATTCTTAATACTCCCTTTTTGTCATTTGCTTTGGCTGGTAAAATATCCATAGCTTCTGGTTCAACCGCCATGGTTAAAAATCGTGGCATTCCTGTGTAATTTCGTGGGTTGAAGCTGTCCAGTTTGCTCAGGAGGGCCATTTCCCGGTCACAAAGCCTTCCAGTCTCTTGGAAGTGAATGGAGGAAGATAGATGGGCAGTGGCCCAAATCAACCTTCACTGTGACGTGTTTTTTGTAACCAATAGTAACTAGAGAAACATGATGAGACGATATGCATCTTCTTTTGGAGTGAAGACGCATGAAGATGCCACGTTTCTGGCGGTAAAGAGTGTGTGTGTGTGTGCGTTTGTTTTTGAATCATTAAGTTTTGAGGCCTTGATGCTTCATTAGGGAGCATTAAAGCTCATGATAGCAGTTCAAGCATTCAAGCATGCCATCTACGCGGTCTACCCTGAACGATAGTATGGACATCCATGAATATCACTCCACAACATGGGTTTGTTGAGGTCTATTCCCGTTTTGCAAGTTATAAACGGGCAGTTGCTCGCGTGAAGCAGTCGACTCGCCCAATGGACCCACTAAAAGGAAACCCTATTTGGGGGTGTAGTTCCAGTTATAACTGGATACATAACCATAACAATAGGGGTTATATATCCCAACATATCCCAATTAACGAGGTTTCTTGCAATTACACTAGTAATAACGCAATTACACTAGTAAAGAGCATCATAGCATCATAGCCACAGCCAGGCTATGCATGTCGCACGCACTGTGCCGACGAGAAGGCCTGTGAGTAGGACCCTAGTAAGTGGCTAGTAACCCATAGTAACCCTACTTATAAGCCATATGTATTCATATGTATATTATATATATATATGCATACATGTATATATGACATATGTGCTTGTGTATATATATATATATGTGTGTGTGTATATATGTATATGTGATATATTTCTATATATATATATATATTTGATATATGTGATATATATATATATGCATATATGTGATGATAACCCAGTTGGAAAACTTATTGAGCAGGATTTTTAGCCAGTTACTAGGTGAGATGATCCTTCAAGTAGTATTTCAAGGGAGCGGGTTTGTCCTGCGTGTTCCAAGATTGTGTTTGCCCAAACTGATTTTTAATGGAAGAACTCATGGGATCTTGGGGGTGCTATTTGGACAAACCCATGGACGTAGAGTGCTGCAAATCTGCATGAATAGACATGTATGAACGGATGGATGAAGTGATGGATAGATAGCCGGGATTAGCCATCATGATAGATAGAGGAAGAGAGAGAGAGAGAGAGATCTAGGAAGATGAGTTTTGGGATACATACATGTATGCAATGGCAGTTATGTGATTCTGAACTGAAATGTAGGCGGTGTTGGTGTATGTGTATTTATATATATATATATACGCGCAACGCCTGGGCTTTGCCCAGGCGTTGCAGCGTAGAGGTTTCCCATTCCCAAAGAAATGTTGATGCAACTTCACAAAATTCCTATGGGAAAAACAACAAAGGTACTAGGGAATATTAAACTCCCACCCCCGTTAAACCTTACATTCCTATAGGAAAAACAACAAAGGTACTAGGGAATATTAAATTCCCACCACCGTTAAACTTGACATTCAATTGGGAAGATCAACAAAGGTACTACGGAACATTAAACTCCCACCACCGTTAAACTTGACATTCAATTGGGAAGATCAACAAAGGTACTAGGTAATATTAAACTTCCACCCCCGTTAAACTTTACATTCATTGAAGATCTTCAATAAGGGTTTAATTCTCCCACACCCGTTCAACTTCTACATTCATTGAAGATCTTCAATAAGGGTTCAATTCTCCCACACCCGTTAAACTTCTACATTCATAGAAGATCTTCAATAAGGGTTTAATTCTCCCACCCCCGTTAAACTTTTACATTCATTGAAGATCTTCAATAAGGGTTCAATTCTCCCACCCCCGTTAAACTTCTACATTCATAGAAGATCTTCAATAAGGGTTTAATTCTCCCACCCCCGTTAAACTTCTACATTCATTGAAAATCTTCAATAAGGGTTTAATTCTCCCACCCCCGTTAAACTTCTACATTCATTGAAGATCTTCAATAAGGGTGTAATTCTCCCACCCCCTTAAACTTCTACATTCATTGAAGATTTTCAATAAGGGTTTAATTCTGCTGATGATGATGATGATGATGCGTCGCCTGTCGTCTTTGCGGGTCCGGGCAAAGCCCAGGCATTTGCCGTATATATATATATTATATTTATATTTAAATATATATATGTGTGTGTGTACCTAATGTTATGTGATGTAGATGAACATGTATAAATTTAGATGTAAATGCTATGTAACATCATGAAATGCTAAATGTAAATCTAAGTGTTAAGGTTGATGTCAATGTCATGTAAGATATGTAGGCCTGGACCCTTGAGCACTGTTTTGTTTCTGCGTGCACTTGGAAATCTGAAGCACTTTGGGAGGAAAAAATCAAAACCGGCACTCAAAAAGACAGCGCCAACTTGGATGCCATACCAAGACCGCCTAGATGTGCTTTTTAAATTTAAGATTTTATCTGGAAATCTGGATTACTGACCGCAATCTGCGTGCGTGTATATGCATACATATATATATATATACATTGTATATACATTTGTTATGCACATATATATATATATATTATGCGCATCTATGCGCATCTATGCGCATTGCTACAGGTATATCAGGTTGGATCTCTGCGACGTGCATTTCTCCATGTCAAAATATGATAAAATATGCAAAGGCAGAGAACGTGAGATGGAAAACTTCCACGGCAGGCCACCTATTTCAACTACTATGCGCCCACCCAGACATGCCGCGTGGCAAGAGACGTGGGATCCATGGAGAGCAAATCATAGCTGACCGACCCAACAGTAAGAGCTGATTCCAGGCGGTGGATGTAGTGATTACCCTCTGGTAAACTAACATAACTATGGAAAATCACCATTTTAAATGGGTAAATCGACTATAAATTGCCATGTTCAAAAGTTATGTTAGTTTACCAGAGGGTATAGTAATTTGGAACCAGGAATTCCAGGATCAACTTGGGTGATTTGAGGTCAACCTAAAGGGAATCACCCCGAGAAGGGATGACTTCGGGCTTGGAACTATTCTGTGTATCTATCCCTCATGGCTTACACCATTTTGTATTCTATATGTTTTTTCTAAATTGATTGGAGTTGTTGAATATGTATGAATATGTTATATTTATCTCAATTTCATATTCTTCTAGAATTCTTATACCTTTCTGTAATCAGTCACATGGCGTGGCAGAAAACCCAGTCAGTTAAATGATTTTCCCATTGTTCTCCATATGTTTGGTCCCTTAATGTCGAGAGACTCGTGGATTTCGCTCAGGTCACTGCCCTCCACCCACCGCAAAGATGGTGAAAGAAATTGTGGAGGAGAACATCGGTGGGAAGGCGCTGGAAAATCTGGACCCATGTACCCCCGGTGCTCAGAAAATCTGGACCCATTTGTAAATAATTTTTCCGCCATGGGGCTTTCCGCGAAACATGTTGGTGTATGATCAGTTCCAACATGGTTTCGCGGATCAGTTCCAACTTCTGGTCGCATTTCCCGGCCCAGGTGCGCTGTGCCAGCACGGAATACATCAAGAAACTCGAAACCTCGGAGCACGCAGAGCCCGCTGTGCCTTGGAGAAACTATGAGTTGGGTGATTTTCTTTGATTGGGTCAGGATTTGGGGAGTGCCTGGGATGGGGTGCAAATCCAATTTTTTCTGGGGTGGATGTGTGTAACATACTTGTACCAAGACAGGTGGACCGGCTGATTTTTGTTGGATCCATTCATAGAAGCAGGGCAACCAGCGGCACCCACCTTTGTTTTGTTGGGGATTGAAAAATTCACCAACCTGCTAGGTATTATCAATCTACTGTAGAGGAACCATGCCCAACAATAGAGGTTTTATATGGTTTAATACAGTTAAATCAACCCCCAATGGCGGTTGATTTGGGTTAACCCACGAATAAGGCTGTATTTAGGTTGATGATGGTTGATCACGAGTTAGCTAATTAGGGCCTTGTTTGGGCGGCTGACCTTTGAGGGGCCCTTGTGCTTGGAGGATCATCCCATTTGGTAAGTAGTTGATGATGATGATGATAGTAATAATAATAGTAATAATAATAATAATAATAGTAACCCTGGCTGGTAAGTCTTCAAAGTCGGTTATCACACGTAGAAATGGGTTAAACACATGGTTGTTCACCAGTTCCTAAGTGGGATGATCCTCCAAGTAGGGCTCAGTTCTAGGTCTATGAAGCAGTCGCTTTCGCAGTGCCCCTGCTGCTGATGATGGTGTTCATGGTGGCTGCAGTGGCTGCCATTTCTCTGTCAAGGAAACTTGGTGATCTGAACCCATGGAATTCCTAGGAACCCTCAATGATGAGACCCCCATTCCCAAATCGTCCCAGACTATTGGGAGATTGGGAATGGGGGTCGAATCATTTGGGGTCCCCCCAAATAAAAAAACAATCACTAATCAGAAGGGTTGTCAAACATGGGATGCAGCCAACTTGAAACTCCAAAAAAATGGCAATGTCCCAAGTGACATGTGTCTTCCAGATCTGTTGGCTTGTTTCCAAGATGCTCATCCATCTCCATGCAGGAGATGAACTACAGGCCGAACAGCCATTGAATCTGTATATATATATATGTATATAAAAATGGACATTGTACCCAGAACATCCAATATCCTACATCCCCTTCAAAAGGATGTTCACCCCATTTAAGAATGAATCAGGCTCGTTCTGGACCTGGATAACCACAAACCACTTGAGAAATGGAAAACCCAGAGGAAAATCAAGGAGACTTATGTACAAACAAAAATAAAAGATTGTTAGTGTGCTTGTCTGAAGCGCACTTGGATGTGCATTCCGGTTTGGAAGCTTCCTTCCCAACCATGGCTAGTAAGCTACTGTCTGTGTCACAATTGGGATGGGGGAGCCAAACGGTCTTAAGCAGTTTCTGCCAGAGATTCAGCTGTAAAATAGAGGAAGACCATTGGCACCCAACTTGTTTTTGTTTTTCTACCGTTCATTGTTTGTTCTCTAAATGTCAGCCATCGAGTAGCCATGGGACATATGACATAGTTCATCAATGTTCATCATATGTCCATATATTTTCATATATTTCACCTGTTTCTGGTCATGATCACACTGCTAAGTGCCTCAAAAGGAGCTCAAAATCACCGAGCCACGAGGAAGCGATGTCGACAGCTTCAGACACTGTCCGAGAGCGGCCTTGTTGCCGCAGAGACCGGCGAAGCCGTGGGCGAGGAAGGACACGAACGTATACTGATGATGGGAACGCTGCTGCATGAGACGACGAGCGAGATGGATTTCTGATGCTGCAGTTGTTCAAACTGTTTCCATATGTATGCACTTACTTATGATCTTCTGCATGTATACAAATGTAGATATATATATATATATATATGGTATATTATATTTGTTGCAAGAGGCATATGGAAATCGGAGGTTCGAACATTTTCAGAACACAAGCTGTTGCACAGTTTGCCTTGAAGTGTGGTCTTCTTGTTGGTTGAGGTTGTGCACAGACTTATTATTCTGGTGTTTTGGTGTTTGGCACCCAAGCAATCCATGTTGATTAGGTAGACCTTGAAAACCTGTTCTGTAAATGAAACCAGACCTTGGTATGTGCAAATAGATACACGTAATTATACATATACAATCATATACATATAGACATAATATCACAGAATCATAATATATGTCATATATATATATATACAATGTTTCACCTTCTAGAGATCCCACGGGGTTTCAGGTTGGAACCATTCGGATTTGTGGTTGGAATTGGAATCCCCTTTCACGGAGTGGTGTTGGGTGATGCCAGACAATCAAAACATGTTCTTCTTGTTTGCAAAACACAATTCTGGAATGTGACTTTAAGATAGATGTCATACAGACTGTGCTCAGTCAGAAACGAGCAACGGTTGGAGAATATTCTTAGAAGCTTTGAACATGGAACTGAAAACACTTAGTATTACTGGTTGGTAAAATTTCAATTTTGTTGGGCTAAATGTTCCATTATATCGTAGCTTATAGAGAGAGAGATAGAGAGAGAGAGAGGTGATTTGCTCATGGTATCAATTATACAGATGGTTCCCATTGCAATTGCTCAGCAACCCAGCCGGTACGACTAGTTACATTGGCTACCAGCAAATTGGGTGGGTAGGATATGCCAAATTTGACAGTGAGTTAATATGACATATTCCATGGATCCGAGTGAAATGGGATATCCTAATGTCAGATGGTAATTCACTGATAATTGATGTCAATCATTCAAATATGAACTGATATTACTAACATTGATTTTTTGAACCATCCCAATGTCAGATGGTTCCGAGTGAAGCCCCTTTGCATTGCTCGCCGCTTGCCCCATCAGCGGACACGCCGGCCAACCTGAGCGGAAGCGTTACAAGACGGCGGCGGCGATTGAAAAAATAAGGCGAGTCCTCTCTTCTCGGATTGGCGCAGGGACATGGGTCGCAATGCCCCAAAAACGTTTGTGATCGTGATGTCAATGCCATCATATGACCCTCATGGATTCATAGAAACTTTTGCTTTTTTTTATCTAAATGCCTCGCTTGTTCCTCAGCTCGACTTGGGGGAACACTGCACCCTGAGAGGATCTCTATCTGACAGTGCATGTCCATGCTCAATGGCTGGCAAAGTGTGTCATATCATTTGCGGCCACATTTGCTGGAAGGGGATTAATGCCAACGGCGCGCAACAATCTTGGATTTCAACCATGCCTACCTCGAGGTTCCCCAAAATTGATTCTTTCAGATCTTTCAGGCTCCAAAGGTTGACAGTCTCTGTGAGGATCTGATACTCTTATATAAATTCCCACTGAAAGGTGGTTGGATCTTGTTTATTGCTGAAAAAACACTCCAAAACCCAAATATGTGTTGAAATAGGTTCATGATACCATTTGGGATACGACCGCTGAGGCAATATCGACCAGCTCCAAAGGGAGCACCGAAAGCCAGGCAGAGATCAGGGAAAGCGGTGGACTTGCGTGGCGCAAGTCCAAAAAATGGGAGGTGTTGATATTTGGATGGGTTTATGTGATTCATATATGTTTATATGGCAATGGAAGTTTCCTGTTTATTATCTTTCTCATCTGAAATATTTAAACTTTTCTAGTGCAAATTCACCCCCAAATCAAGCTGGTAGTTTTTTTGGATGAATGGGAGGGTTGCAACGGCTAGGGTTGTGGGAAATGCGCACAAGCAGCGTAGGTAAGTGACCCAAAACTGTCACCATTCACTGGACAGTTTGAGGGATGCCATTTGGATACGGCATTTGTTTAGCTATATTAGACGCATTGCTGCATACCAACAAGCACCTTCAATCACCAATGTATGATACAACCATGGACGCACACACACAAATACACATGCAACAACTTGGGAGAGGCTGTGGGAGCCTTGAATGATTGAACCTGCTCTTCGTCAATGAGGAGAAAACATGAGAAAACCAAACCAATCGAACACCTGAAGTAAGGGGGTCGTTATACCCAAAATCTGACGGTGAACACATTTCAAGCATACCAACCTTTTTTGTTACATTGCCTGCATGTTGGCCGCCAGGGCCCTTGTCTGTTCTACATAGTGAGAATGACCTAATTTTTCAGCTTCCATGTTAGATTCTTTATGGTTTTCTTGTTGCTACTGTCAGAATTGTCCCCAAGATCGGCCGCGCTTTATCTCAAGCTTTATTCTCCAGCGTTAGGCTTGGCACCGTCCGCCTCCAACTTGTGGAGAGAGACGTCTCTGGGCGGCACCAAATGGGAACTTATGTAATGAGCAAAACATGGAAATTCCATGGCAAATATCTGGATTTAACATAACTTAATCGATTCAAACATGAAAAAAATCTCGGATTTTACCATGCAGTGAAGGTTAGAATTTGCCGGCAGGTATGGGATAACTACTGTAGCAAACATGGGCAGAGACCCAGGTAAAATGATAATTCAAGCTGCAACAGTTGGACTTTAAACAACCACAAATCGGAAGAGATGAAGAGACTGAGAAGAAACAGGAGAGGATTGCTGCAAACCTCAACAAAACCCTACCTCAAAGTATGGGTGTTGCATGATCACGTCATTTAGATTCCTGCGAATAGATCTGCAAACAACCATACAGGATGTCATAGACGCTGCGTACAGTTTATTTACATCATAGTTTTCACGGTTTCAATTTCAGATCTCCATTTTTTCTATATCAGGCGCACTAGATCCATCTAGATAAACAACTCTTATAATATATAAGAGCTAGGCTATATAAATTATATATATATACATATAATACTTGAGCGTTTATTTCCATGCTGACTTTGATTACCCTATCTTCGAATCAGCTTCTTGCCAGAGACACAACATAGCGGTGCACTTCCAGGTCGCAGCGCAGGAATTGATTCACGGAAAAATGGCACTTGGGCCGTTGCAATGTTGATAGCACATTTCAACAACCGATTTCACGGATATCATGGGGAGATATATCATATTTCAATACATTTCATACAATATACTTAGAGATAATATAGTGGAGATATAATTAATATATGCAATCCAGATAATTCAAATGGATGAGCAATACTGATCCGCGAGGTTGTCTCAAAACGGCTCATATCCGAATTTACAAATGTATATCAGTTTGAATGGGCAAAATGGTGACAAAGTGCATTTGGGATGCCACATTTTTCGGACAAACCGTTTTTCCATATATATATATATATTGTGTATATATATATAATCATCGTAGTTGTCGTCGTCGTCATCATCATCATCACCATCATCATCATGTTTCTTCATCGTCATCGTTATCGTCATTGTTACTATATCATGTTGGCACTGCGGCACCGTTCTGTCCCCTGACATGGGCTGTGATTCCCCGTAGTGCCTTTAAAAATCTTCGGAAGAATTTCCTTGAGTCAAATCATTGGCATATGAGACATCCAGGCCCTCAAAACTTCGTGTATGGCACTGGGTTTATCACATGATCAGTTTTATCAGGTATATATTTACTGTAGGAAAAGACATTGACTTGGCACTCATGTTGATATCGTGTAGCCACATATGATCCTGATTGGTGATGTGTTTTATCTTGAGGGAATGCGGTGTTGCAGCACCTAAAATGCCTCCTGCTGTTAACAGTTAGAGAACTAAGAGTCAAGAAGATTAGTTTTTGGATGTTTTGGGGGTTCCAGCTGTTCAATCTCAAGGAGTCCTTGCCTCGTGTCCAATCCAGCCATTGGCTCCAGAGCTGGCTTGAGGCCTGGCACTGCTTAGACTCAAACATGAGCTGTGCTGCAGACGATTTGGTGATATATGATCAGATGATATCAGATGATATGAGATGATATCAGATGCTGGTGATAGATTTGCTTATGCCAAATATGACCACGTCCCAGCGTGCGACGTTCAAATGGTCCATTGCACCAGGTCCGTCCACGTCCTCGAAGTTGGCGATCTGAAAAGATATCAAGAGATTTGCAAATTGACGCTCGGGCTTGACCCTCCACTTTCAGATATGTTCTTCTCACGTAGCCACACATTGAAAACATATCAGGAACTTGGTATTTCATTCCCATGGGTCGATCCGGGGCAGCAATGCTGCGCTGCCATGGGGTGTCCGAGAAAGCCTCGCGAGCTATGCCCAAGGGCAGAGGCAATTCGGTTTTTGATGGAACGGATGGGGTCTGGACAAATTTTGACGTCCTTAACAGGGCCTCACTGCAAATAGTGTGTAGACAGTGTAGACGGGGAATTATGTTCAAAACATAGCCTTGAATGCCCAGGGTCATGGAGTCCTTACATCAAGTTGCATCCACTGGAAATCCAAGTTGGATGATGCTTAAAAGCAGGTAACTACCCTGAAATGGCTGCTTTGTGGCTTTATTTTGGGACCGGGGCCCCCATTTGAACCCCTTGGTGCATCTGAACTATACTTAGGCGCCATGGCGATACTTATTTTGCTGCTGGTCGGCCATGAAAGCTTTGCAATGTGGAGGAGAATCGCTTGGTCTCTGGTAGTGTCTGACGGCGACAAGTTGTTTGCTTAATGATGGGTCGTGGAATGGGATATCATGGGATTATCATGGGATTGACATGGTGTTACTGGGTCATTGTTGAATTATTCATAATTATTCTAAATGGCTAGTGATTATAGTGATTGGGGTCTAAGTATATCGAGTAACAGCTGAATGTTCGCTAAGCTCCTGGCACCTCCTGGCCCAATTCGCGGCGGGACGACCAGGTGACCTCAGCTGGAGCTATAGTCGGAGTCGGCTGGTGCAGTTTGAGAGACATTGGACATTTATCCATCCAAGTGATTCCAATTTACTGTACCATACTATACCCATCTATACCCATCCATCATCATCCATCATCCAATATTCAGCAGCTCATTTCCATCCACATGTCGTCACAAGATGTCACCGTGGCCTCGACAGGAACCAAGCAGTCAGCGGTAGTCTTAACATGTCTTAACTGCACGCTGAAGGAAAAGCCGGACCAGGCATGCCATCACGGAAGACACCGACATTGGTGTGGGGGTCATCCTATATATATATATGTGTGTTACAATTAATATCATATTATATATAATTTATATATATATATATGTGTGTGTAATGTGATTCTCAGTTTTGGGACTTTGATGGGCTAAAAGGACCTGAAACAATGACACAAACCTGATGCTGTTCACGTCAAAACCCCAGGATGGAGCGACGGCAGGCCCTGTTGGCAGCGCCGTTGCTCAGCCAGGCGACGGCCGTTGCTCAGTCAGTGAAGCAATGTGGTAAACCCAATAAACCATCCGCAAATCATCATAAATGGGTTCTGCGTTTACATCCCCAAATGGTAGGTTTATATAGTGTTATGGCATTGGGTTTCCCACTTTATTGATATTGTTGTCCAGAATGAATACAATAAACTCGTGCAAAATGTTCCCTACTACACGCATTTTTGGGTTGAGTAGTTGAATTAGATTCATATGGGTTCCAGCTTTTTGTGGGAGAAGTCTGCCACCTTGACGGTTTGGTAGATTGTCATGCCCATGCCCGTTTTCCTAGCGCAGATCATCAGATTTGGGAGGATTGGACCATGGACAAGTTTCAATAAATGTATGCAATCCAAAGCTTATCCCACTTGACTTGCTGTGGGTAAACTCAGGCTAAAAGTGGACTTTTTTCAGCTCACCATATCCTTGGTTTATACTGGAAACAGTCCGGGGATCTCAGATGAGGCTGATGTTGCTGCTCATTTTAGACATTTCCTTTGCAACAAGATTTCGTGACAGTATGGGGAAGGCACCCACCACTGCTACTGCTTGCAGCGGGAGCTTCATCATGTTTCTTCCCTGGGCAAATTGTTGACTGATAATGCATTGATCGGGAGAATTTAAGTAAACCTAGGTTGGCTTGGTCAATAGGTCCACTCTAAAGATTTGCAACAAGGCATGCATTCCGCTAACCACATACTAAAATCACAAAAATAATGTTGGGAGATCTACGACAGTAAGATGTGCCACATAAGTTCCGTTCCTTTGCACCTCTGTCAGGTGCCTTGGGGGTCCACCCATGCCGAGCCTTTGCTGTTTGACAATGCAGTGCAAGAGTCCAAGGATCAAATCTACAGGCTGCGGGGCGCCGGAGGTTTGTTGGTAAAATGGCTGGTTTGGGTCATGTGTTGTTGTTTTTTCTTTTGTTTTGGGGGGAGGGGAAGGAAAACCAGACTTCCTGTATGTGTGTGCTTTTCCTGTTATTTCAACATGCAAATTAACGCGGTGCGGATGGAGGGATGGAGATGTTGCATTGGTGGCTCAGGTATGTTCAGATGTTCATGTTATTAAACATCCACATGTGGATCAAGACCCAAGACAGAAGAATTCCCTATTTGGGGATGAAAATCCATAAGCATCAACTATATAGTGTGATGTCAAGACAAGGTGGCCACGGTTTGACGTTTTAACACATGCCCACATTGAAGAATACCAACAAGAAGGGTCGGAATGGGTCAGAAGATGATTCGCAGATTGGTTTGTTTCATATAGATTGTATTCTTCAGGTCTGTGATCCAATGTTCGTTGGATGCCCCATCTTTGGTGCTTTTCATCCCGTCCCCCTACTAAATTTACTTGTATTCAAAAGCTGTATATACAGGGCTTCAAAACAGACCCGAACAGTGAGGCGAGGGGCTCACTTTGGGCATAAATTTGAGCTCACTTTGCGCATAAATATAAGACGTTTACTTTGGCCATAAATGGGATCACTTTGGTCATAAGTGGGATCACTTCATAAATCAGATCACTTTGGTCATAAATGGGATCACTTCATAAATCAGATCACTTTGGTCATAAATGGGATCACTTCATAAATCAGATCACTTTGGTCATAAATGGGATCACTTTGGGCATAAATGGTATCATTTTGGGCATAAATAAATGGGTTCCTGTAAGGTTTCTTTATGGTTTCTTGAAGGTGTCTTTATGGTTTCTTAGGTGTTTTTTTAGGGTTTCTTTAGGGTATATATCTTCAGGGTTTCTTTAGGGTCTCTTCAGGGGTTCTTTAGTGTTTCTTTGGGGTTTCTGTAGTGTTTCTCTAGGGTGTTTTTAGGGTTTCTACAGGGTTTCTGCAGGGTTTCTTCAGGTTTTTTGTTTAACATTTCTTTTGGTTTGTTTGTTTTTTTTAAGGTTTCTTTGGTATTTCTTTAGGGTCCCTGTAGAGTTTCTTCAAGGTCCCTGTAGGGTTTCTTCAGGGTTTATTTAGGGTTTTTTGGTGGTTTCTTTTGTTTTTTTTTGGGGGGGTTGTGGGGTTTCTGTACGTTTTCTATGGTGTTTCTTTAGGGATTCTTCAGGATTTCTGTAGGGTTTCTTTCGGGTGTCTTTGGGGTTTCTTCAGGGATCTTCAGGGCTTTTGCAGGGTTTTTCAGGTTGTCTTTAGGGTATCTTCATGTATCTTCAGGGTTTCTTTAGGGTTTCTTTAGTTATGTTACAGCGAGTTGAAGCAGGTATATATAGATCAGTACAGAAATCAGAAAAAAAACACACATAACAAAACAGCGCTGCAAAGCAACACCCCATCCAAGCAACATCACCCGTGTGTGCATGACCCCACCCCGTAGCAAACATAGATGCGCGGATGCGCGGCAAAGGTTTACGAATCATACCATGAAGTCGCCCAGCACAGTACCGTTGAAAAAGTAGCTGTAGCCGCACGAGTTCCAAAGCAAACACGCTTAGCAGCACAACACTACGGCTCGTGACACCCCTGGCACACTTCCTGTTCATCCAAGGCCTTCTAGGCAATCAAGCATCCATATTCAGCAGCATTGATCCATGAGCCCTGCACCCCCAACGCATTTCCACTTTACGCCCAATGCGAAACCAAATTTACGCCCGAAGCGAAGCCGAAACTTACGCACGAAGCGAACCCCCGCCCTGACTCAGACCTCAGAATCAGAACCAGTACTTTAAACCAGTTGTTTGATGATAGTTCTGGTGTGTTTTCTCATATATTTTGCAAAGGATTCCGGAATCGCTTTGTAGCTCGCTCAACAGTCACTCAGTGGGCCTGTGAACCGTCCAGGAACTTTGGCCTGAAACCGAACATTGGTTTGCAAGTGAGGCCGGGCCGAGACACCTGTGTTTTTTTTTGGACGGGGATCCCATGGTGAGTTGCAAGTTTTTTTGTAGTATGTTATACTGATATTTGATAGTATGATATTTTTAACAACAAGATTGGTATAGTCACTATTTATAATTTAATCCGTTTTTATTTTAATCAAGTGGAGATGGAACTGGATTACTTTTTTTTCCCGAGAGCGTCTGAGTGCAGGGTTCTTCCAATAGTGGGGGTCTGTAAAACATCTTCTCCTCTTCACATCTTCTCATCCTCACATCTTCCCATCTTCACATCCTCACATCTTCACATCTTCTCATCTTCACATCTTCACATCTTCTCATCTTCACATCTTCTCATCCTCACATCTTCCCACCTTCACACCCTCACATCTTCACATCTTCACATCCTCTCATCTTCACATCTTCACATCTTCTCATCCTCAGATCTTCTCCTCTGCTCATCTTCACATCTTCTCATCTTCACATCTTCTCATCTTCTCATCTTCTCATCTTCACATCTTCTCATCTTCACATCTTCTCATCTTCACATCCTCTCATCCTCACATCTTCTCCTCTTGCCCTCTTGCCCTCTTGCCCTCTTGCCCTCTTGCCCTCTTGCCCTCTTGCCCTCTCCTTCTTTTCTATTTCTCTCTTGAAGGCGGGGGCAGGGGCAGTGCCAACGAGACGGCACGAAACGCAACCCTTTCGCACGAAATGAGGTTCAATCGCCAAAAACTGAAGTAAAATTGCGATTTCAACTTGTCCGGCGCAACCCTTTCGCACGAAATGAGGTTCGATCGCCAAAAACTGAGGTAAAATTGCGACTTGCAAGTCGTCCGGCGCAACCCTTTCGCACGAAACGAGGTTCGATCGCCAAAAACTGATGTAAAATTGCGATGTCCAAGTCGTCCCGCGCAACCTTTTCGCACGAAATGATGTTCGATCGCCAAAAACTGCGGTAAAATTGCGATTTCAAGTCGTCCCTCTTGTCCCGCGAACCCTTTCGCACGAAATGAGGCTCGATCGCCAAAAATTGAGATAAAATTGCGATGTCAAGTTGTCCCGCACAACCCTTTCGCACGAAACGAGGTTCGATCGTCCAAAACTGAGGTGAAATTGCGATTTGCAAGTCGTCCCGCGCAACCCTTTCGCACGAAATGACGTTCGATCGCCAAAAACTCAGGTAAAAATGCAATTTCAAGTCGTCCCGCGCAACCCTTCCGCACGAAATGAGGTTCGATCGCCAAAAACTGCGGTAAAATTGCGATTTCAAGTCGTCCCTCTTGTCCCGCGAACCCTTTTGCACGAAATGAGGCTCGATCGGCAAAAACTGAGGTAAAATTGCGATGTCAAGTTGTCCCGCGCAACCCTTTCGCACGAAACGAGGATCGATCGTCCAAAACTGAGGTGAAATTGCGATTTGCAAGTCGTCCCGCGCAACCCTTTCGCACGAAATGACGTTCGATCGCCAAAAACTCAGGTAAAATTGCAATTTCAAGTCGTCCCGCGCAACCCTTCCGCACGAAATGAGGTTCGATCGCCAAAAACTGCGGTAAAATTGCAATTTCAAGTCGTCCCGCGCAACCCTTCCGCACGAAATGAGGTTCGATCGCCAAAAACTGCGGTAAAATTGCGATTTCAAGTCGTCCCTCTTGTCCCGCGAGCCCTTTCGCACGAAATGAGGCTCGATCGCCAAGAATTGAGGTAAAATTGCGATGTCAAGTTGTCCCACCCTTTCGCACGAAACGAGGTTCGATCGTCCAAAACTGAGGTGAAATTGCGATTTGCAAGTCGTCCCGCGCAACCCTTTCGCACGAAATGACGTTCGATCGCCAAAAACTCAGGTAAAATTGCAATTTCAAAGCGTCCCGCGCAACCCTTCCGCACGAAATGAGGTTCGATTGCCAAAAACTGCGGTAAAATTACGATTTCAAGTCGTCCCTCTTGTCCCGCGAACCCTTTTGCACGAAATGAGGTTGCGTTTGTGTGTAACAGCGTCTGTGTGTAAAACAAGAGCGCCTGTGTGTAAAAGTGTCTGTGTGTAAAAGTGACGCTTCTGTGTGTAAAAGCTTCTATGTGTAAAAGCTTCTGTGTGTAAAAGTGTCTGTGTAAAAGCTTCTGTGTGTAAAACCGTCTGTGTGTGAAAGCGTCTGCGGTGTAAAAGCGTCTGTGTGTAAAAGAGTCTGTGTGTAAAAGCATGTGTGTGTGTAAAGAAGTCTGCGTGTGTAAATGCACTCAGAAGGACCGAACTGTGTGGTGTAAAATCGTCTGTGTGTAAAAGTGTCTGTGTGTAAAAGTGTCTGTGTGTAAAAGCGCCTGTGTGTAAAAGCGTCTGTGTGTAAAAACGTCTGTGTGTAAAACTGTTTGTGTGTAAAACTGTCTGTGTGTAAAAGCGTCTGCGTGTAAAAGCTTCTGTGTGTAAAAGCTCCTGTGTGTAAAAGGGTCTGCGTGTAAAAGTGTTTGTGTAAAAGCTTCTGTGCGTAAAAGCGTCTGTGTGCAAAAAGCGTCTGTGTGTAAAAGCGTCTGTGTGTAAAAGCTTCTGTCTGTAAAAGCTTCTGTGGGTAAAAGCTTTTGTGTGTAAAAGTGTCTGTGTGTAAAAGTGACGCTTCTGTGTGTAAAAGCTCCTGTGTGTAAAAGGGTCTGCGTGTAAAAGTGTTTGTGTAGAAGCTTCTGTGTGTAAAAGCGTCTGTGTGCAAAAAGCGTCTGTGTGTAAAAGCCTCTGGTGTAAAAGCTTCTGTCTGTAAAAGCTTCTGTGGGTAAAGCTTTTGTGTGTAAAAGTGTCTGTGTAAAAGCAACTGTGTGTAAAAGTGTCTGTGTGTAAAACTGTCTGTGTGTAAAAGCGCCTGTGTGTAAAAGTGTCTGTGTGTAAAAGCGCCTGTGTGTAAAAGCGTCTGTGTGTAAAAGTGTCTGTGCGTAAAAGCGTCTATGTGTAAAGCTTCTGTGTGTAAAAGCTTTTGTGTGTAAAAGCGTCTGTGTGTAAAAGCTTCTGTGTGTAAAAGTGTTTGCGATGCAAACTATTGTCTTGTACTTGTGCATCTTGTGCTATATTGTCTTGATACTCCTCTTCTCGTCAACCTATAACACATCCTTAATGTATTGTTTTGTAATATGGTGTCTCCATACTAACAAGAGAAGACCCTGCTCCTCTATGCTCTGGGGCCATCCGTCGTCCAGTTGAAATATAGCTTTAGCGGCGAGGAACAGGCTAGAAGCCTTGTTAGCGCAGGAAGCTGGATCGCAAGGGCCGCATGTCTGATGGTCCAGTGCTTCGTGCTTGCCAGGAGCAGGCGCTTGGGCTGGGATCGCAAATCTATGGTTGAAGCAACCACCAAAATGTGATCTGAAATATATATAGCTATAAATGCTCTGTTTCAATAGGTAAATATTGCGAATTGAAGTTAGTGATTAGGTTAGCATGCGGCTTTTGACATGCTTGCCATTCGGATTTGATAGCATGCTACCTTTGTTTGCAGGCATCAAACATGAGTGATGATACGGAACATCCAACCAAAAGCGGTGTTGCTAGTCATTGCATGCCATATATGTTCCAATAGTGTCTTGTCTTTGTTTGATACCAATAGTTGCGATTTCAAATCAGATATCGCCAAAATGAATCAAAGTTAGGCATGTACTCATTCACGGTTCAACAGGTGGCAGCATGTGTCGTGCGCTGCCCAGGTGATCCCCAGATGCTTCTCCAGCACCGAAGATTTCTTCAGAGAGAAGCCGCGCAGAGTTGCGAAACAGTGGGGATGGGTCAAATGTCCAATTAGGTTTGAAGCATCACAATATATCAAAACCACCGATAGTTGCGATTTCAGCCATGAAGATAGGTATTTTGAATGACATGAAGATCCAAGACCCATGAGAATCTCCTGGAGCTGGGATGCAGTACATGTGTGTTCCATGACTTCTATCCCACAATATCCCACTAACAAGTATCGCAAAGTATCGCGGAAGGTTTTGCTTCCAGTTGCACGTTGTTGGGACCACTTGTAACTGCCAACAAGCATACCTTCTTCTTGCTTTGCCTGTTCAACATGGCTCGTCACATGGCAAATGCAGAGAAGAAAGATGCACAGCTTCCCAGGAAGGTGGAAACCAAGTTGGAACCATGGCGGATTCCCAGTGGAACAACGCCCGAAGAGGACCAAAATGCCGGCCACAGGGCGAGACTGGAGAAGATCAATAAACCCCACGCCATTGGAATGCAGGGGTGGTTAAAAATGCATTCGGAGATGACGGGGTCCAGTCGCTCAGGTGTTTGAGTCATTTTTGGATAATATTAGCTACTGATTAGTGTGAGGGCCCCCCCCTCAAACTAATTGAGTATACTGAATAAGGAGCAGTTTTTTTTGCCCCCCCTCAACATTTTTTAGGATAGTCAACTTAAGTAAGGATTTTAATTGAAATCAATTTACTTTCAATTGATTTCAATTGATTTTGAATTGATTTCAATTTACTTTCAATTGATTTCAATTTACTTTCAATTGACTTCAATTTACTTTCAATTGATTTTCAGTTGATTTCAATTTACTTTCAATTGATTTCAATTTACTTTCAATTGACTTCAGTTTACTTTCAATTGATTTTCAATTGATTTCAATTTACTTTCAATTGATTTTCAATTGATTTTAATTTACTTTCAATTGAAATCAATTTACTTTCAATTGAAATCAATTTACTTTCAATTGAAATCAGTTTACTTTCAATTGATTTTCAATTCAATTTCAATTGAAATACACTTGCTTTCAATTTACTTTCAATTGAAATCAGTTTGCTTGAAATTCATTTCAATTTAATTTCAATTGCAATCAACTTACTTTCAATTTACTTTCAATTGGTTTCAATTTACTTTCAATTGAAATCAATTTACTTTCAATTTAATTTCAATTGAAATCAACTTACTTTCAATTTACTTTCAATCGATTTCAATTTACTTTCAATTGAAATCAATTTACTTTCAATTTACTTTCAATTGATTTCAATTTACTTTCAATTGAAATCAACTTACTTTCAATTGATTTCAATTGGTTTTGCTTTTTTTCCACCCCGAAAAGTTGTTGTGCACAATAGGGTACCATCCAAACAATTATATTATTGAGTATCTGAGCCATTCATGGGGTACCCCCTTGAAAAATTGTCTGGGTGCTGTTTTCATATATGGGTTTCATGATGCATCTAATTATTTGGAAAATCTTGCATTTCAAGGCTTTCACATGGATATGACTTTCTAAAGTAAAAGGACCAGCTTTACACAAAGAAAGGTGGAGAAAGTGTTTTTGCTTTTTTTTCGCTCCCAAAAGTTGTTGTGCACAATAGGGTACCATCCAAACAATTATATGATTGAGTTTTTGAGCCATTCATGGGGTACCCCCTTGAAAAACTGTTTGGGTGCTGTTTTCTAATAAGGGTTCAATCAGGCATCTAATTATTTCGAAAACCTTGCATTTAAAAGCTTTAACATGGATATGGCTTTCTAAAGTAAATGGACCAGCTTTACTCAAAGAAAGGTGGGGAAAGGGTTTCGTTTTTTTCACTACCAAAAGTTGTTGTGCACAATAGGGTACCATCCAAACAAGTATATTATTGAGTACCTGGGCCACTCATGAGGTACCCCCTTAAAAAATGGTCTCGATGTTGTGTTTTGAAAAAGGGGTTGATAAGGCATCTCATTATTTGGGAAACCTTGCGTTTCAATGCTTTGACATGGATATGGCTTTCTAAAGTAAAGGACCAGCTTTACCCAAAGAAAGGTGGAGAAATGGTTTTGCTTTTTTTTCACTCCCAAAAGTTGTTGTGCACAATAGGGTACCATCCAAACAATTATATTATTGAGTATTTGAGCCATTCATGGGGTACCACCTTGAAAAATTGTCTGGGTGCTAAGGGTTTAGTAAGGCATCTAATTATTTGGAAACCTTGGATTTTAAAGTTTTAACATAAATATTGCTTTCTGAAGTAAAAAGTGAGAAAAAAAAGTGAACAAAAAAAATGAAAAAAATATCTGGAAAAAAAACTTGGCACAATAGAGGCTCCCCCCCAAACATCATAGCACTGAATTTGGAAGCAAAAACTTGCCACAATAGGGTACCATCACACTAATCGGGTGCTAACATTATTGTATTTCGTACGTCCTATCGCTCAAAATGACAATCCCAAGACAAGAAAGTCATTGGATGGCTCAACCACCTACTCCAGCGGCAAGTTTTATCCTAAAACCTTCCAGTTTCAAGAAATTCCGAGCAGACCAAGCCCATTTATTTATCATATTTTCTCGTCACATAAACCCATAGTTGTTCATATCTATCTACATTTGCCCATAGTTTTCACATGTTTTCATGATTTTTCCCCATGTCTCCCATGTCCCATGTGCTACACAGCCCCAAGATGCGCAGGCCATCCAGCGTCTGAAGCAGTTGGTGGAAAGCTATCCGCCGGGCCATGATGGTCACCTGGCGATGGTCCAATTGACCAACGGCGCCAGCATTTTTCGCAGGAACTGTAGATCTACAACTGATAATATTCTACACATATCATATTTTAGTAATATCATATAGTATGTATAGATAATCATGTTACATTTTTAAAATTGCATATGGTGATGATGATGTTGGTATATGTCTATATGTACACACGCAGATATAAAACGGTGAGCCAAAAATGGACGTCCCAGTGGATGGGACCAACTGAACCAACGTGTGCCTGTAGAAGTTCATACTGTATATACGTATGGTTATATAATATAATAAAATATGATATAATTTGATTTAATATAATACAATATAATAAGCTTCGGTGGTATCCCCATCAGCCGCAACGCCGCAACGTTTTATTTTTACAAATCTTTTTGAAGCGTGGAAACACCTCAGCTGGGTTTCCGTGAGTTAAATGGCCGCAAATCCTGTTAAACCTGACCTGGCTCTGCACCAAAGCCTCCCAAACCTTCTCCGGAACCTTCTGCGGAACCTTCTCCGGAACCCTGTTGAACCTCACCTGGCTCTGAACGAAAGCCTCCAGGAACCTTCTCTGGAACCTTCTCCAGAACGTGACTTGGCTTTGCACCAAGGCCTCCTGGAACATTGTCCGGAACCTTCTCCGGAACCCTGTTGAACCTGACCTGGCTCTGCACCAAAGCCTCCAAGACCTTCTCCGGAACCTTCTCCGGAACCCCGTTGAACGTGACCTGGCTCTGCACCAAAGCCTCCCAGACCTTCTCCGGAACCTTCGGAACCTTCTCCGGAACCTCGTTGAACCTGACCCGGCGCCTGCACCAGTGCACACCAGAGCTATTCTTGGCTGAAGACCCATTAGCTTACGCTGTTGGGGAATATAACATAATATAATACAATAAGGTAATATATACAATATAATCTAATCGATTTTTTTAAAAAATAATATAACATAATATAACATAGTATAATATAATATATAATATAATATTTCATAATATAATATAATATAATATAGTATAATATTATACAACATAATTTGTAATATAATATAATATAATTTAATATAATATAATATAACATAATATAATATAATATAGTATAATATAACATAATATAATATAATATATAATGTAATATGATATACAATATAATATCATATAATATAGTATTTTATAAGATAAATATAATATTATATATTATAATTTAATGTAATATCATATAATATAATAATTTATAATATGTTAAAATATAAGATACTTTAATTTAATATAATATAGCATGATAAAATCTTATTTGAAAAATAAGAAAATATAATATAAAATAATTAGATAAATTTTAAGATAATATCATATTATATCATATAGCATCATTTGATTTATATAATACTATGTAATATAATATCATATCATATCATATAATAGGATAGAATATAATGTATTTAAAATAACATAATAAAATATAATATAATATAATATCATATCATATCATATGATACATACACACACATGTGCACACTTAACATTTATTGTCTGTGTGTTTTCATGATTATTGCTGTTATTGCGGTATTCTCATTGTAGTACCGCTATGCTGTCTGTACAGTTTTTTATGTGCAGAAGGCCATGTTCAGTTCATCAAGCCACTGCCTTTTCGCCAAACTGCAGCCGCAAAGGTATTGATTCAGGGGGCTGCCGGCTTCTGCAGGTGCAACCCAGATACCTTTACGCGCTTCTCGGCATGGGGCCGGTGCGAGGGGGGATCCTCCAATGGTTATGGGAAAACCTATGGTGGAAAGCTAAAGGACTAGGAAAATGATCCTTGAATATCTATGATGATCTATGATGTAAAAATGGCGTTTTTCATTTCTAATTGACTTGCTAAAGGATATTGGTTGACTTTTTTGTTTGGGTTGGCTATGAATGGGACAAGGGATGATATCTACGTAGCAGGTTGACCGGTTCCCTTTTGTTGCCATACCCACAACGCCCATGTTTGGGATTCTGTGGGTGTGTCACTGTAGTATTACTTAGTAAACCCACTGAAATGACTACCTTGAAAAGCCGTTTTGTTTCTAGGAATTCGGCAGTTAAATGGGTTGACCGGCAGAATTGGTTGGATTTTGGGGCATCGAAGCTGAGGCAATTCGCCAGCTTCATTGGCATCTTGACAGCAGAGTACCTAAGTCTGGAGAGGAGAGAACCGATCCCCCAAATTCAACATGATGTTCCACTTCTCCAGATATTTCACCTAAAGATGTTGCCAAAAATCTTCTGCAGGATGGGTTACACTACAGCAATCTACTGTAACCTGGCAATGGCTGGGAAAGACCAATATCCAAGAGGAAAAGGATTACACAATGTTTTTGTTTTGTTTGCTGTTGTTTGAGTTTCTACATGGTTGTTTTGTGCGGAATTAGTTCAACGCAAAAAGAAAGCAGGAGTTATTTCAAAAAAACATGAAATTCTGGTGGTTGTCCCATTCAAATCTGTGCTGGTTTCATTCATATTTATCATCACCATGACCATTCCACTTCGCTAACCCACATATATAGGTCCGACATTTTGGTTTCTTAAATGCTCATCTATGTGTGTATATATATATGTGATAGGGGGATCATCCCAATGTATGTTGGTCAACCTTCCCAGTTCAGGAACCACAATTTGCCGGAATAAAGTGAGTTGAAACCAAACGTGTGATGGCAAAAATCCATGGTTTCCATTGGTTTCCTGTCATTTTCCCCTGCAAAATCAACCGCAATGAGGTTCATCCCAAAGCTTTAGTGGTGATTTCAACAGGTTTCAATCACACACTTCCATTAATCTGTGTCATTCAAGGTGAGGTCCCCCAGTTTTAGGGTAGTTTTTATTTTTGTTTTGTGTAAACCCTTGAACACCCATTAACTACAGTTATATATATATATATGCATATCCCCAGAAACCCACGGATCCCCTTCTCCAGGCCTCATCTCCGACGTGGAATTCGCCGTCTCGGAGGACGGCCTGGTGCAGCTGCGCTCGGCCTTGCGGTCCATGGCGCCAGATGCGTCCGGGACGCCCGTCGGGGGCACGGTGGGTTGTGGTTGAACCGTTGAAAAAATATGGGAAAACCATATTCTGGTTGGTGGTTTGGAACATGAATTTTATGATTTTCCATATGTTGGCAACAATAATCCCAACTGACTTCAATTTTTTCAGAGGGGTAGGTATACCACCAACCAGTATTACAATGGTTAATAAACCATAATAAACCGCCAACAACACGAACAAACATAATGATAGAACATGAACAAACATAATTACATAACGATACGTGATTTGTTTTAATTAACCAACAAAATGTATGATACTTGGTGGTTTAAGCATTAAAACATTGGATTTGTGGGTGAGTTAGGTTCGTTTGAAAATGGGGTATACCCACCCTCCGCTTAGGCCAGTTTAAGATCACCCACCGAAAGACCTGGTGAAATGCATGGGACCTCTTCATTTGGGTGGTCACATGGGTGGATTTGTTGGTTGATGGAGGAAGGAAGTACGCTTCACCTGTGGTATTACATGGTATGACCTGCACATAGTCTTGGCATGTCTTGGCTATCAATCCAGAAGTGGGGGTGGACATCAATTATTAGATAGGGGTTCAAACAGGCACACTGTGTCCGTAGGTCCATTTAGGTTGGTAACCTGGTATTGTTCCCATGTGTTACTAAAGGACCAAGCATTGCATAGCAGACTTCCAAGACAGTTGAAGTATGTTGAAGTTTGGAACTACGATTGGTCTATGCGAAAGCAATCTGTGCCTATCAACACCTCAGTGGCATTTTGTGGATTGCGAATCGTTTACATTTGTCACAGGCATCTCTGATAAATCTCTATCAAATATACTGTAGATAGATGATGGATACACAAATGGGTGGATATAATGAATATATCAATAATATATCATAATAGATCTAGAATCAGATAGATGACTTAGATGACTAGATGGATGAACATCGAGTTAGATGAATAGAAAGCTACCGCATACTCCGCAGACCTGGGTGGATTTCAGGGCCAATCCTCCCAAGGCTAGGAACTGTCCAGACGCCCCCTGATAGCTTAGTGGCCGGGCAGCAGGGGGCTGGAAGCATTGATTTAAGAGACGCCCTTGGCAGCAAACTCAGCAAACTCCCATAATTCATGGGAAAAATCATGGTTTACCGTAATTTGAATGCTGCTGGTTTTGATGATAACAATGGGTTTCAGCAGATTTCCTAACAAGTGGGACCTTGCACGTCCATCATAAACCACACTCCACCAGATCATCGGGCCCAGAGATCACATTGAAAAAGCGTGGGGCTTCAAGAAGCTAAACACATCTATTAAAACGACCAGCAGAATGAGACTGTCAGTACAAGTGTGGGTGTATATGTGGAAAACATTTGTCATCAACCACTACTTCCTTCTCTCTCACATGAAATAGTTGATACGGCACTGTTGGTTAAACGTTAAAGCCTGTTGGTTTTGTTGGTTGTTTGGCATTTACTTTTATATCTTTTAATTTTACCAGTATAGTACCGCACAAGGCGGTGGCGGAAGTTTCAAAAATAGGAAACCTATAGGAGAGCTTGGTTGTTGTGAATCAGGGATGGCAGAGCGAAGCCACTGACTCCATCTATTTCTCTAGCTGCCTCTCTGACTATTTATCTATCTGTCTGTCTGTCCATCTATCTATGTATCTATCTGTCTATCTATCTATCTCTCTATGTATCTATCTTTCTCTCTATGTATCGATCTATGTATTGATCTATGTATCTATCGATCTATCTATCTATCTATTTAACTATCTATCTATCTATCTATTTGTCTATCTATCTGTCTATCTGTCTATCTGTCTATCTGTCTAGCCATCTATCTATCTATTTCATCTCATCTCATCTCATCTCATCTCATCTATCTCATCTCATCTTTCTCATCTCATCTATCTCATCTCATCTACCGAGCTGGCCTCTCTCTCTCTCTCTCTCTTTCTTTCATCTAACTACCTATCTATCTATCTATCTACCTACGTATCTATCTATCTATCTATCTGTCAACCTGTCAACCTGTCTATCTGTGTTGCAGTGTCATTCAGTCTAATGTAGTGTAGCGTAATGTAGTGTAATGTAGTATGATGTAGTGGAGTGTGGCGGAATGTAGTGTAGTGTAGTGTAATGTAGTGTAGTGTAGTGTAAATTTAGTGTAGTGTAATTTAGTGTAGTGTAATTTAGTGTAGTGGAGTGTAATTGCGTTGTTGTAGTTGTAGTTGTAGTGTAATGGAGTGTAGTGTAGTGTAAGGTAGTGAAGTGTAGTGGAAGATAGTGTAGTATAGTGTAGTGTAGTGTAGTGGAGCGTAGTGTAGTGTAATGTAGTGCGGTGTAGTGTAATTTAGTGTAGTGGAGTGTAGTGTAGTGTAGTGTAATGTAGTGTACTGGAGTGTAGTGTAGTGCAGCGTCCTGTAGTGTAGTGTAGTGTAGTATCATTTAGTGTAGTGAAGCGAAGCGAAGCGAAGCGACATCTGAACCTCCAAAAGTGATCCGAACCCGTGGTGTTTTTAACATTTTGACTTGGAAATGTGCTTCGCGCCACAACGGCGTGCACTTTTTCGACATCTCAACCTCCAAAAGTGGTCCGAACCCCTAGTGTTTTGTACATTTTGACTTGGAAATGTGCTCGCGCCACAACAGCGTGCACTTTTTCGACATCTCAACTGCCAAAAGTGGTCCGCACCCCTAGTGTTTTGTACATTTTGACTTGGAAATGTGCTTCGCACCACAACGGCGTGACTTTTTCGACATCGCAACTGCCAAAAGTGGTCCGCACCCCTAGTGTTTTGTACATTGTGACTTGGAAATGTGCTTCGCGCCACAACGGCGTGCAATTTTTCATCTCTCATCTGGCCAGCTGGCTCCGCACCCGCCGCTTTAGCGAGCCTACTTTTCGACCCTCCGGAGCCGCAAATCATTGGAAAAACACAGTGTTTCGCGACTTTCCTACCTTTTCGCGCATCTGCATCTTCTTTCTTCTGACTCTTTCTCTTCTACTCTTCTCTCTTCTAATCTTTCTCTTCTCTCTGCCTCTTCCCTGCTCTGCTTTTATATAATCTGTCCATATTGTCGGAAGTTTGACTTCTAAACTTCCTTCGATCATCTTCATAGTATGTAGTGTGACCATCCCCAAGGTCAATGCCAAGCGCCTGAACTGGTTCTCGGAACGTCTCCGGAAGGTGCCCTTGGGATTGTGAAGCTCACTGCGTCATTGGAATATGTCAGGTTACCCGTTAGCCTCTGGTAAGCTAACATACCTATTGAAAAAATGGTTAATATACCTGTTAAAGATGTGGATTTTCAATAGCTATGTTAGTTTACCAGAGAGGTAAGCGATTTTCTTTTAAACCCAGGTATATGGGTCAATAACCAATGACAACTGGGATAACAATGGGGATAATTCGTCGGATATGTCACCAACTATGTGGGTTTGTCTGAAAATTGACGTATATGTATCCTCCAAATCGCTGTTTTTATGGGGAACATGATGAGTCATGATGATACACCATCAAATTGTGGGGTACCTATTTCCAACAGGTACTTAACAGGGTAAACCCATACCCTCAACTACTAGAGGGTCTAAGATGGTTTGCCTAGGGCTCCCAATATGGAAGGTCTAAGATGGTCTGAAAATCATTGTAGACCTTTTGCCTCCTACCATGTTAGACCCTTGCTATCATGAGGGAAACCCATTCTAGACCTTTTGGCTTTTGCATAGGGAACTTCATCCTAGACCCTTTGCATCCTTGGAACCTTAATAAAGGTTGCCAAACGCATACCAAGCAACCACAACCAACATCAATCAACCACAACCAGTGGAGACATAAGGCGCAATCTTGTTGTCACAAGATGATGGTAAAATGGCGGTGTTATTTTTTATGTAATGGATTGTAATGGTTCATAATGGTGCATAATCGCACCAATAAACGAATAACATATTTGATGGATGGTTGCGATAAACGAATTTTTATGGTTTCAGGATGTGGTAAACCATTTCAGACCCATGAAGATGAGGAAACAAATAGGAAAAACATATCGGGTCACATTACATACACATCCAACCCCAAAATACCTCGAAGGTGGAAATGCTTCCAAATCAAATACCCATTGGTATCAACACATATCATTGATACCTTTGTTGATGGTGATGGTTTCTCCTCTCTATAGTTGGGAATGGTTCATCTTGACGGGTCTGAAATGATGTTCCCATAGCATTTGTGGTGAATATTTATGGTTTCGGGATGTGGTAAACCATTTCAGACCCATGAAGATGAGGAAAACATTGGAAAACATATCGGGTCACATTACATACACATCCAACCCCAAAATACCTGGAAGGTGGAAATGGTTCCAAATCAAATACCCATTGGTATCAACACACATATCATTGATTTCTTTCTTGATGGTGATGGTTTCTCCTCTCTATAGTTGGGAATGGTTCCATCTTGATGGGTCTGAAATGATGTTCCCATAGAATTTGTGGTGAATATTTATGGTTTCAGGATGTGGTAAACCATGTCAGACCCATGAAGATGAGGAAAACATAGGAAAACATATCGAGTCACATTACATACACATCCAACCCCAAAATACCTCGAAGGTGGAAATGATTCCAAATCAAATACCCATTGGTATCAACACATATCATTGATTTCTTTCTTGATGGTGATGGTTTCTCCTCTGTATAGTTGGGAATGGTCCATCTTGATGGGTCTGAAATGATGTTCCCATAGCATTTGTGGTGAATATTTATGGTTTCAGGATCAGGCAAACCATTTCAGACCCATGAAGATGAGGAAAAGATAGGAAAAACATATTGGGACACATTACATACACATCCAACCCCAAAATACCTCGAAGGTGGACATGATTCCAAATCAAATACCCATTGGTATCAACACATATCATTGATTTCTTTCTTGATGGTGATGGTTTCTCCTCTGTATAGTTGGGAATGGTCCATCTTGATGGGTCGGAAATGATGTTCCCATAGCATTTGTGGTGAATACTTACGGTTTCAGGATCAGGCAAACCATTTCAGACCCATGAAGATGAGGAAAAGATAGGAAAAACATATTGGGACACATTACATACACATCCAACCCCAAAATACCTGGAAGGATGCGTCTTGTTAGGCTTACTGCCGGAGATGCCGGGAGCTGTTTGAAGGAACCAGGGGTCTAAAGTGAAGTTACCTCTCTGAGCCTTCCAGGATCATAGCTGTGTTATGTGCAAGTTCCCGGACCCCTAGGTAAGGTCTAGCATGGTTCCGTTATATTTCTGGAATCACCTAGGGATTATCATCCCAGACCCCACTTCAGACCCTAGATCCAGGGTCTACAATGAAGTTTCCTAGGGTCTGGGGATAGTAGTTGAGAGGATGTAAACCCCATATTTTGCTAGTGTTCCATCCTATTGTATTTGGAATGATGATCCATATTGACTGCTTTTGTTGGGATGGGTCGAAACCCCAAATCAGAAGGGGGGTTTGCACAACCACATTATGATTGAAACAACAAAGTTGGGGATTTGATAAAGTCCCTAAAACACTGAAAGTTCCTTTGGAAGGGGCCCCAGGCTGAAGAGATCCAATATGATCCAATAGACGATTGTGTTCGCCCCTCCGCTATCTAAACCGCCGGGGGGGTTCTTCTTTCTAAAGACCGTGCAAGCCACACATTGACTTGCCATTTTCTCGCATCCAAAACGTCCCAAAAGCTGCGCATTTTCAACGTGGCCTAAGTATGGTCTTATATGTCAAACATATGCGGTATCAATAATGCATTTGTATAATTATGTACATCTCTGTGGACTTATGTTAACATTAGACAGTGTATACGCATGCATATATACTTTACATTATGTCATTTCATATCTAATTATATTTTAAAAAAGTAAATATCATATATCCATGTCTATTTTAAACGTTCAATATGTATAGAGAGTCGTTCCTTTTATCGCGACATGCTAAGACTCGTTTCACGAGGCGGGTTGGACGGCTCCAGAGATCACTGAGCAGACGCATCCGCAGTACTTCGCAGAGAACTTGAAGGCCTTCGACATCGGCAGCCAAGGGAAGCGGGATTTCTGTAGGTTCGGTTCATGATCGGCGTTTTTCCCCAAGAATTTCAATTGTAGATGATGTTTGATGCGGGTTGAAGATTTTCAGAGTAATTTTTGGATGATGCGCGATGATTAATGGTGATATTTGAAGACTACTTTCCCATTGGGATGTGACGAAACCAATGGGAATGCTCCAGCCAGAGAGTTTGGCCCGATTCATGGCCTGGAAAAGCTGGTTCCTTCCAGCAAACTAAGGGTTCGCTATGGAAACCATGGCCCATTTATAGATGACTTAGCTATGAAAAATTGTGATTTTCCAGTTCCCTATGTTAAATTACCAGGGGGATCCAGGGGGTATGGGGTGTAAGATCTTGGAAGCCATGGCCCATTTATAGATGACTTAGCTATGAAAAATTGTGATTTTCCAGTTCCCTATGTTAAATTACCAGGGGGTATGGGGTGTAAGATCTTGGAAGTCCCACTAATATACCATTAATATACCACCTCAGTCACTATATAAACCCTAAGAAAGCGTATAGAAACTTATAAAATCCGTTTGGTCGAGGCGGGGCTAAAGACCATCGGACTGGAGTTTATGCCCGAAAAGGATGGCGTGCCCTGGAGAGTACTGGGCTGCCAGTTGGCAACAATAATCAGCATGGACATATGGAAGTTTTTCCTGAAATGGGGGTACCCCAAAACCATAGGTTTCAATACTAAATTAGGATGATTTGGGCGTATCCCCATTTTAGGAAACCTCCACATCATGGAACCAATTGCTATGGCCATTTCTAAGTGAAAGACAATGGAATAGTCCAAAACCATCCAAAACCATCTTCAGTAGGCCACAATGTGACAATAGTTTATTTGTAGAGGGCAACGCAACAAGATAATGCATTGTTCGAATGTGCGTGCAGTTATTGACCGAGGTACCTAAACCTGATTATCTTTGATTTCTTCATCGTGGATGTAAAAAATAAGATGTTTGACTATGAAAGGTAAATTTGATTAATATCGGACATAACATATGGAAATGGAATAGAATATATAATATATAGAATATAGAAACAAATTGAACTTAATATCCTCAATATACCTGGGGTATGAGTATCCTTACCTTTTTTTTGCATTTATTCTTTTTGGCCGCTATATTTTGTCTTTGGAATGAAAGGGGCGCAGGCACCCAAAAAAAAACGGGCTCAATAGATGCAATCATGTCAATTGATGCAAATTTATTTGTGGCATAGGCTCATTGAAAAGAGCTCAAAATTATCACTACTACTATACATCTGAAAAGGTTATAATGATCCTTTTTTACAGGAGCCTCAATCCGACAATTGCTGAAAAGATTCGAAAAAGGATGGATTGATGAAAAATTATTAAGAATAGAAATAATAATGTGGACATATCTATTTTTGACGCAAAAAAGAATTTCGGATACAAAAATAAAATGGAATCGTTGGAATATTTGGATATTTTCCTTCACTGGCCAAATTATAAAAGACATAATATCTATATTTTAAGAAGGAAAAAAATTATTTATATATATATATATTCAATTATTGATTCAATACATATATATATATAGATTAAAATATATGTATTAAATACCTATTTATATATTTAAATTTTGTATTGTTATAAATTAAAAATCTTAATTATTCTTAAAATAAATGTATTATATTATATATATATACATTGTTTAGCCATAATATTTAAGCAAATACACTAATTATATTACAAAATCCCGTCCTCCTATTCCTACCCCCCCAACTAATAAAAACTAGGGTCCATCTCTAATTTTGGAAACTGGCCAATTTGACTTTTAATTGATCCCTTTTAGAAAACAATTTATAGATAAAGCTACCATTCGTGGGTTTCGCCCCCTAATAATAAAACTAGTTAATCCCGGGGTGTTTATTATCAGGGTCCGTGAAAATCTTAGGTCTTTTTTAAGGGTTGCAATTTATTAATAGGGCCCGCTTCAAAATCCAATTGTTGGCAATACTTTAACTGCGTTACATAAGGAAATTTAATTGATTTTGAAATCGAAATTAATAGTTTTTTTGATTAAGGATTTTAATTTCTTAATAGGGTCCGCTTCGAAAACCAAGTTTTGGCAATATTTTAATTGCGTTATATAAGGAAATTAAATTGATTTTGAAATCGAAACACATTGTTGATTTAGTTAAGGGTCTTAATTTATTATTGGGGTTCCCTAATAATAAATACCACCCTAATAATAAAAACTACCTCAGGTGTTTATTATTTGAGGGGGAGGAGGGGTTTAGTATTACGGGGAAAGGATTATTATTAATTTAAATATATAATAATAATATATAAATAAATATATATGCGGCGCGGGCTTGGTCTGTGGCCTTTTACCTATAAATTCCTGTATAACATGGTTCTTATTTTATATCAACAGTTATTTCTATGCCGCAAATTCGTATAAAATGATTGTGCCGATTCTAGAATGCGGCATGTTCTTTCTATATTTCCTCTTAAAATGATGTTTGGGATATATCCACTTACATTTTGACAGCGCAGATTCGCGCAAATTCTGGATCTCAGTCTTGGGATCGACCCTCCTCCTCTTTATTGTTATTCTCAATATATTTGTGTTCCTCCTCCAAATCATTATGTTCGCAATCATCATTTTCCTCTCCTTTAATATCATTATCTTCAAAATCATCATCCTCCACCTCATCTTCCACAACATCATCATCATCCACCTTTTCTTCCTCAACATGATTACTTCCTTCTCAACATCATCATCCTCCGCCTTGTCACCCACCACCTCATATTCCGCATTCTCATCCTCATCCTCCTCAACATCATCATCCTCAACATCATCCTCCACCTCATATCCTCAACATTATCGTCCGCAATACTGTCGTGTAATGTAGTGTACTGAATTAGTGTAGTGTACATAGTGTAGTTGTAGTTTTAGTTGTAGTGTTGTGTAATGTAGCGTAGTTGTAGTTGTAGTTGTAGTGCCTTGTAGTGTAGTGTAATTGAGTGTAGAGTAATGTAGTGGAGTGGAGTGTAGTGGAGTGTAATGCAGTGTAATGTAATTAGTGTAGTGTAGTTGTAGTTGTGGTGCGGTGTTTTGTAATGTAGTGGAGCAGAATGGGGTGTATTGTAGCGTAGTGGTGGTTGTAGTATTGTAGTTGAAACTGCTATAAACCGGCAGATTTTTCAGATTTTGCTTATTTTTGACAGGGTGCACAATCCCTCATGCCTGCCACGCGAAACGACATCTGAACGTCCAAAAGTGGTCCGAACATGGTGTATTTTGTACATTTTAACTTGGAAATGCGTTTCGCGCCACAACGGCGTGTATTTTTTCGTAATTTAACCTTCCCAACTTGCTCCGACATAGGTGTTTTGCACATGTTGACTTCCAAATGTGCTTCGCGCCACAACGGCGTCCACTTTGCGATATCTTAACTTCCAAACATGCTCCGACACACAGGTATTTTGTACATTTTGACTTGGAAACGTGCTTCGCGCCACAACGGCGTGCACCTTTTCATCTCACATCTGACCACATGGCTCCGCATCCGCCGCTTTAGCGAGCCTACTTTTCGACCCTCCGGAGCCACAAATCATTGGAAAAACACAGTGTTTTGCGGCTTTCCTACCTTTTCGTGTGTCTGTATCTTCTTTCTTCTGACTCTTTCTCTTTCTCTGACTCTTCCCACCTCTGCTTGTCTATTTGTCCATGGTGCCGGAAGTTCGACTTCTAAATTTCCTTCGATTATTTTCTATTAGGCATGTATTTCTTTGTTTTTTGGGAAACAACGGGCACCTTGCCTACCAGGATCATCGGCGACTCCCTGAAACAAAGCGGGTGTTCGACAACTTCAAGGACCGTCCCCAAGGCGAAGTTACGAACACCCCACTGGGCATGATTTAGATGCCCGTGCCGCACGTGGCCTTGGGGCGTGAAGCCGGCTGGCTTTGCCGCATTGTATTGCGGCGAACAGCAAGGACAAGGGCAAGAAGTTGTACAAGGAGAAGAAGAGCGGCAAGGAGAAGAAAGGCAAGGACAAGAAGAGCAGAGGTAGCACCAGGAGCAGTGCCAGCGGCCGCTCGTCCTCTTCATCGCCTGCGTCGAGAGGCACCCAAGAAGTTCAGCCCCAAGCTGTTGAAAGAGGTCGACAAAGGTACGCGCCTGGAAGTAGCTGGCAAGACACACAAGAACTGCTGTATGCCGTTGTCTCTGGCTCGTGCCACATTGGGTCCGGATGCTAAGTAAGCTGAGGTTCATGCCTGGGCCGCCGCTTGGGTCGAGAAACTTCCCGAGAACAAGCAGAAGGCGTGCCGTGCGGCGGCCAACGAAGCCAATCTTGGGGAGGGCCTCTACGACGACTATGTCAAATTCGAAATCGAGAATGAGGCAATCCAGGCGAAGGTGATCTTCGTTATTGGCGCTTCTGGTGGCAAGACCCGGGTTTGGGCAGCCGAGGGGGCAAGCATTGACCACATGTATCCTATCTTCCTGCGGCACGAAGGTTTCCACTTTACGGCCTTGATGTTGCAGACTTCTGACATCCCGGAAGCCCTTGCAGACCTGCATCGAAACCTTTTCCTTCGTACGCCCTGCTGACCTATTGGCTGCCCTCCTGAAAGCACAGAAGAAATCAAAACCGCCGATCTTAGCTGTCGCTAGGTCGGCTGGGTGTCTTGGTTTGTGTCGCGAAGCACGTGACAGTACAGGACGCAGGGTGCAGAACTTGGACTTTAGCTAGGTCTTGCTACTGTAGGTTTCTTTGCCTGTGTCTCTCAGCATGTCACCATACAGGCGTGCAGATATAGGTGCGGCCTTCCTTTGGACAGATATAGAGACAGCTGACTGAGCAACAGATGACAATTGTTGCAAAACAATGCGCAAATGCTGTTGCGTTTTCACGCGTTGCCTATCCCAGACCGCCGCTGAGCAACTAGGAGAAGTTGGTTGGAAGGCGTTGCGCGGCTTCGTCTCAATTCTCGGTAATTCCGCAGCTGTTTTGAATTCAAACCAACGATAGTGGCATTATGGCCACAAGCTGGAGCGATTTGAGCCCAACGCATCTGACCCTCCTGCTGCGCCGCGGTTAGGCCCGGCAGCGGAGCCGCAGCTGCCAGCGGCACTTGGTGAGTTGCCGCCCGCCAATGAAAGAGAAGATTTCTACGATATAGCACCCGCGGCCGAGATCGCTGCACGCCCAGGCTCCTTTGGACGTTGTTTGTTGCATGGCGTGGTCGCTGGGTACCTTGGGTCGGCATCTCCCGGCCTGGTATGGACGTGTTGGCTGCCTATGTTCGGATCTATTTGTTTCAGGAGGAGCCCGATATCATCCTCGCGCGTTTGCAGCAGCTTCTGACGATGTTGCTTCCTGCACCGCCATTGGGCCCCGCTGGCTTTGGGAAACCAGTTTTTGGATGTTTTTGGTAGGCCTCCGCCAATTCAAGTAGGCCCGAGCCCCGTAATCGGATGTGTACAGCATATTGCGCCGACCTTGACCATTGAAGCGCATGCCGGTAAAAATGCAGCGCTGCTGGGATGTTGTTGCTTGCTTGCCTTGTCAATTTTTTTTGGGCCGAAAGCTGGAAGGCAAGGGGACGAGTGTCAGCAGTCCTGCACTTGCACGAGCAGTTTGCTGGATGGGTTTTATTTTCAACCCTGAAGGCTTGGTTTATTGTTTCGGCTGGAACCGGCTGCTTTGTGCCCGGGCCTTCGGCAGTGGATCAGCACACGTAGGTTGCCGCAGCTGTTTTTGTGCTCC